TGAGAACACGTGCACCGAGACGAACAACAGATTTATTAAGCCATCTGCAATGGTTGACGCCAACGGAGTTTAACAATTCGTGATTTTACAATTCATTGATTGAACGAAGGAAACGAAATTGCGTTTAGGATTACATATATTATCGATGATGTAATTCTGTTACTGGTGACATTAGTTGCAAAGATGAATTCGAAACAAATCGTGTCTCCATAAATTGAAATTTTGCGAAATGTCATTAAAAAATTATTGCGGTCTAATTAAGATGCGCTGGAGATTATGGGAGGCGTGGTCACGCTCAAACAACGTTAATTTTTCTAACTACGTCAGTCAACTCTGTACGCGATGACGAAAGAAGCAAACTGGCTACAGCGCAAGCTCTGCCTTTGTTTGCACTGTTACCGGTCGATGAGTGAAACTTTAAACACATGCCTTTTCACGGTTATAAAGTCATAAATTCCATGTCCGAACGATTATCATTGTGTTCGATAACAGGTATGTTAGTGATGATACATTGGTAGTCTACGCGTGGGTGCTACTACCGTAGCAGTACATACTGCGTTGCGAATCAGCTGTTCGCAAGAAGACGTGCAGGTGCATTGTGTTGCAATACTGTTGACAGCATCTATCGGTTAACCGGCTATTTAAACGAATTTCGTGTTCAGCTGTCGATAACACTTTCAAATTTTGCTCATCAATTTTAGTATTCTATAGTTACAATAATTGACGATTAATAAGGCTTGACTTCTCAATTTCCATGGTTGTAATAAAATTGTTCTTTATGAAATTACAGTGCCTGCAGGTGTTAACGGAACACGATATCAACCTTTACATGTCAATATTGGTAAAAGTTATCGGAATATTTTCTTACAATGTCACAGAGATCAACATTTTGTATTGGCGTCTTCCATAGCTTGAATTTATTTATAAGCATCTGTCGTCTGCATGGTATCGTTTCAGATAAGTTGTAAATACATATGTAATCCTATAGAAAGTAAATGCGTAATTCTATTGTTCTGCTTGGCGCAACGCCTACGCCGATATGCCCGACAGTAAAGGGCGTCAGTGTTTTTCAGATACGAATGTAGAATTGTAAGCAGATGTTACGAAGAACGAATAAAGGTTGAGTACTCACCTTACAGCGACGATGAGACTATCTCTGGTCACGGGCAACCGTGACAGCGGCTATGTTCGCGCGATACAATACTGATCAATCGGAACTGTCCCTAAAAAAGTTCGAGCTCATGTCACGAATGATCGCACAGTAAGCTTTCGTAGTATTCTGACGGTTTTGCCTTTGCCTTTAAGGGTAGATTCGTGTGCAGTGGGGGCGCTTTAAGGGGAACTACCACCGCGCCGACGCGACATCGAAAACTATAAGTTCAACGTCGAACTACGGGCCATGGAAGGGATGTCATCGATCGCAGACTGAACACGAGGTCCATGGCCTGTAAGTAACAACCTTTTGTCTCGTTTTTATTCCATTTCCATTTACGATGCAATAGCTGTTGTCCTTTTAAGCCCAAAAGTACTTTAATTATCCAAACCAAGTAAATTTGTTGCTTCTATTAGTCGTATTGTGAATTGATTTTTATAACCCCTTGAAATTTGAATTCGAATGCAACACTTCGTGCCGCGTCAACTGTGCGCCCGTTGAGCATCCCATTTAGATTCTATTTTTAATAAATAATTTTTCACAAAAGTTTTTTTGCTATAGGTTTTCCATAATTTTTAACATTTATAGTTTTGAAAATTTGAATGCTATTATGTACAAGATATAAAAAATGATTATGCATACACCAGGAATTACATAGCGGCGTAACGTTGAACTGGGGAACTACTATTTGTCTTATCTTACTGACGAACGATTCATTAATGAAAACATGCGTCGAAATTGTATCATACATGTTTAATAGTTTCGTTCAGCCTAGTATAACTTGGATCAGATCCACTTCACTTCGCTCTCTTTGGGTCCATTTCTACTCTTTTTGGTTCTCTAAAATCCGCTTGGATACGCTCGACTCTGCTCCAATCAACTTGAGACCACCCACAAGAGAACGCTCCCAGCTGTTCGTCTTCAATTTGAATGACGTTTCGTACAATGGTAGATTGTAGATCTCCAATGACGTGTATGAAACATTAGGCGTAGTTATTTGATAGTTTCAGAGATGTAATCAATTAAAATTATTGACATAATGTGTGTATGATTCGACATCCTAGAAATATCGGCGGCAATGTTGGATGAATACGTGACTTCCACCACCAGGCACGGTGCTGAGTGGCAGTTATCGCATGTACGAAAAACACAAATAGGCACAGTCATAGAGTCGTAAGTAAACACAGTAACACAGTTAACACAGAACGTCGAATGTCCAATGTTTACGTTTCTAGCAGCCGGACGAAGTACATACTAACATTCAGTCACACGCATACTATATCAAGAGAGGTACGTAATTTTAATTGATTATATCTCTGAACTATAAAGTAACGACGCCTAAGTTTCATATACGTCATTTGGCACCTACAATCTACCATCGTACGAAAGTTCATTAACCGTAGACCGGCTAAATCGGGTTTATTTTGACCCGAATTGTTCCCGTGACTCGAAGGCTTATCAATGACCAAGTCTGTCGTTGGTAGAGTCCCCCCACTTACTCGAGCAGCCTATCGAGTAACTTCTGTATACATACAACACACAGTGGGATATTTCGTCGATTCAAAGACTCAAACGGTGGAAATTATTTCTATTATTTGTTTGATTAAAAAAACACAGTTTTATAACCATTTATGGTAAAATTTGCACAATTCAAGCACAAAAAGTCATTTTAATGCATTTCTTTAACGGTTCAATCATTTTTAATATAGTAATGGCTTGCAAAACTAAAAGTGAATATGATATGAAATATAGACACACAGAATACCTATATACATACAATAAATTCTACGTAATTGACGCTCAGATTGTGCACAAAAATGGACAATTTGGGAAGGGGATTATCAACTATAAAAACGAGCTGCAAGGCTCGAATAATCGTATCTCCTCTTCCCAAATTGTCCATTTTTGTGTACAATCTAAGCGTCAATTAGAGAGACTTTATTGTACCTATGTAGCTAATAATAAATCTAACAAGAAACATGTGTAACAAATATAGTGTATACATATATGTATTACATAAACATATATCAGTTTAATCACTTGGTGGTAGGAGCATTTCTAAAGTTTCTTTTCTAAATGATTTGGTATGTACACTTCGAATATTCTCTATATGAATGAAAGAAAAATTATATTTTCTATGTTCTTGAACTTTGTTGATATCAATGCAGTTTTAATTGAAATATTTCAAATGTATACACATTTATCACCTTCACAATGGTCCACAAATTGTGATTTATTAACATTTTCTCTGAGAAAAAGTAATCACTGGAAAAGTTTCCAGTCGCACAAAACGTCCATTCCTCGTTACTAACTGTGGTCAAATGCAACTCGAAAGGCAAAGCAAATACAGTTTATTTTACTTCAGGTACCTACCTTACTCAGATAAAAGTCATTTTTTATTACGATGAATTCTACAAAACTGTACTCTGGCCGATTAGATTGACGAAATATCCCACTATGCAGTTGTTAGTGGTTATTTTCCATTTATAAACAAATTTTTGTAATAAAATTAGCGTATCTGTCGCTCTTTTCCACTCATTCACTATAATATCGTTTTTCGAAACAAAAATTACTGAAAACATGTAACCTAATTAATTTAAACATAAATCTGGCAAAAAAATTTATTCTTTGACACATAAATAAAGAAATTTCGTCTTATGTAAAATATAACCCAGTTGTATTCTATACAACCAATAAACCTTGTCATTCTACGGTTAAAATAGAAATCCAATAATTGGGAGCCTTTCCTTGTCAGTCTCGCTCTATTCAGCTAGAAGTTATTCTCCATTCTAATTATCTCATCTCGGACATTCATAAATCTTACCATATCTCAATACATATAATCACGTGTCCAGATGATTTGATCTTCCACATTACTTCTATTCTTTATGATTATGTAGTTTATCTCAGTCGAATTTTGTAAAAAGTTTTGAACATTCGATTGAGTTT